TAGTAGTAGTAGAGTAGTAAGTAGTAGTAGTAGTCGTAGTAGTAGTAGAGTAGTAGTAGTAGTAGTAGTAGTAGTAGTAGTAGTAGTAGTAGTAGTTAGTAGTAGTAGTAGAGTAGTAGTAGTAGTCGTAGTATAGTAGTAGTAGTAGTAGTGAGTAGTAGTAGTATTAGTAGTAGTAGTAGTAGTAGTAGAGTAGTAGTAGTAGTAGTAGTAGGCGAGTAGAGTAGTAGTAGAGTAGTAGTAGTAGTAGTAGTAGTAGTAGTAGTAGTAGTTAGTAGTAGTAGTTAGTAGTAGTAGTAGTAGTAGTATAGTAGTATAGTAGTAGTAGTAGTAGTAGTAGTAGTAGTAGAGTAGTATAGTAGTAGTAGTAGTAGAGTAGTAGATAGTAGTAGTAGTAGTAGTAGTAGTAGTATAGTAGTAGTAGTAGTAGTAGTAGTAGTAGTAGTCGTAGTAGTAGTAGTAGTAGTATAGTATAGTAGTAGTAGTAGTAGTAGTAGTAGTAGTGTAGTAGTAGTAGTAGTAGTAGTAGAGAGTAGTAGTAGTAGTAGTAGTAGTAGTAGTAGTAGTAGTAGTAGTAGTAGTAGTAGTAGTAGTAGTAGTAGTAGTAGTAGTAGTAGTAGTAGTAGTAGTAGTAGTAGTAGTAGTAGTAGTAGATGAATAATGAGTACTAAATAGAAGTGCACATGAAAGGAATGTCATCATTATGATTGTGAGTCAACAATACAGAAGAAGCATTATTATGAGGATATTAATCAGTTAATGTGATTTGATCTAACTATTTCAAACTTATTATTGAGAATCACCATCAGATTATGATGTTTGTACCAATTGTTCATTATTATTTCACAGTGTTCGAAGCATTTTCTAATACAGTCGAAAGGGTACAGCTTTAATAGACTTATTTCTTTGTTAGTTATGTATCTGATTTTGTTTCGATGAAGTTATTTCCCAACAGAACGATCAACAGTCCAACCAATAACATATGTTGATCTTAATGTTCAATTTATCGAGGATTTAAAATTATAGAAGTTTATTAAAACAACTATAAGAAAAAATATTGGTACACACTACTCTTTTTTTTAGTTTAACTTAGCACTCAAAATTACGAGAAAGTAGTATATTTTAAAATATGCGATATGGTGTGAACAGAGAATAGGAGTTAATAGGGAAATAATATGAATATCTATGCTCTTTTGCTTTGAAAAGAAATTATGCTACTGTTATATCTTGTGACCGCCGATTAGAGGGCAGTGATATATCGATCGGACCAAGGACGCGTAAAACACGTGCGAGCAGCCTAGAGTCCTGACTAGCCCTGCTCCCTGCCTAGCCCAGCCAGTTAAGTTCAGAACACAAGTCTCAGCCTCTGCAATATAAATCATTATATTTCAAACATACTGAGTTTATAAACCAATCAAACAGACCACAACGTACCAATAAAATAGAAAATAACATTTGTACAAAATCTGGCCGAATGTGGCTGTGAATGAGGGAGGTAGTGATTAATAGACAGGGCATAATTTAAGAATGGAAAATCGTATAATAACAGTTCATAGGTTAAAATAAAGCTTATGATAAGAGAGACGGGAATATGAATAATTTAGTTAATTAACAATTATGCGATAAAAATATACTCATGATATTGGTCCATAAATGGATCCCAAAAATTACCATTCATTATTCTTATCGGGACACAACAACTACTCATGTTTTGTTCTTTCTACATCAGTGAACTATGCGGTAAGGTTCACCGCTTCCCGATCATGTAGTCTTTTCACTTGTACTCTAAGAAAGAAAGATAATCTTGGAATGAAAACGTTAAAGCTAAGAAATTCTTTACATTGACTACTATTCTGAACACATACTATCTTAGTTTTGCTTAGATAAAGTTGACTATAGTTTGCAAGATAATTTAAAATGTTACGTGTTGAAATTAATTTTCTATGGAGTGACCAAATAAATAGAAACTATAAATAGAGTATGATATTATGTAGTTGAAGTTAGAGTAACCATTTGAGGTCAGTATAACTAAGATAAACGATAAAAGTATTGGTTGTTACCGCTTTCATGGTAACAGTATAGTGGAATATACCTGAAGTATTAGGATAGATAACTGTATTAGAAGTATAAACAGGTTAGAAACTACTTATGAACGATGGTATGAACAGTTTTGGGGATTAAGATAGCCATATTACGTTCTCAGATAAAAATAATTGTGTAATCGAGGTATTGAAACATTTACTTTCAACGTAATTTAGTCCAGATGTGCAGTTCTACAAAGTGAGTTCACGTAAATAATTCCGTGCATGGTTGATACGTATGCTATTTAGATCAGTGAATCAATAAATAGCTTTCAGTTAGTCATTTCACACAAGTCCTAGACAAGTAAGTTTTCTACATCTAGTGATTTGCTTTTATTAATTCCTTTAAGTTTTAGCTTTACAACTCTGACTTTTTCCGTTAATTAACGAGAAGATTCTTCTCTGTAATTAGTCTGGCAATGATTCTAGAATACCGTCTGTAATATCCCTACAAAATGTCCCTTGGTAACTTATTAAGATCTGAAATCCAACAAAATGAGGCTAAGTTCAATTTCATTATAAATAAAAAAATTTTCAAGAACATAAACTTGATTCAATGATTCGTATTAGCCAAAGATAAAAATGGAGTTCTACCCTGCTATCTATTTAAGTGTAATTTAGTGTAATTTAAGAAAAGCAAACTTATCTGTTTGCTAAAATGTATGATTTTCGAGCTAGTTACTTACAAAATACTCAAGAAGATGGTGTTTTAATGACTTCAACCTTTGAACTGAAGATTTTTACAGAATATTCCCAAGCTCCCAAATTTGGGGAAAATTTGACCCATTTGGGGAAATTTTGGGGAAATGGCACAAAAACTCCAAAATTTCCCCCAAACGTTGGGGATTTCCCAAAAATTTCCCCAAAGTTGGGAGATTGGGTTTGTTCAATAACAGTGAATAAACTCATGGTTATTTTGTATAAATCAATAAATCTAAATAAATTACCTTTTTTTATTGAAGTGTTACAGTGAAATTTCAATTATCAGAATATAAATGATGAATATATTCCACTTTGTTGATGAAAAATATAAACTGTTGAAAATTGGAAAAATTTCCAGTTTTTACTGGAAGTTTTCGATTAGTTTCATTAAAAATCCATTTTAGACTAATAAAATGAATTTTGATTTAGTTTCCAGTGGAGCCAATCCGTAACTCTGTCTGGCGTCCTTCCTGGGGCTACTGCCGGTCTCAAGCCCGGATAAAGGAGGAGAGTTGGACATGGGGTTAGCGACCCTATCTCGTAGAAAACTAACTCACTAAAAAAACGCTAACCAGAAAAAATTGTTCAAACCATTTGAACTCTGCTCTGGAAGTCAGGAGGTCTTCATTTAGGAGAGTTATGACGCCTCATGATGAAAGCCGAGTTCCTTCGAAAGTCACGAGGCCGATGCTCATTTTGACAACTAGAGCAACCATTTATTTAGGTACATGGAATACTCTACAATGTGGGAGACTGGGAGAGCCTTCCAAATTGCTGCAGAAATGAGGAGATACAACCTAGAGGTGCTTGGGCTCAGTGATACACATTGTACGCAAATCGGACAACAACGACTAGCTTCAGGTGAGCTTCCGTTATACTCTGGCCATGAAGAAGAAAATGCCCCACATACACAAGGAGTTGTATTGATGCTGTCCAAACAAGCACAAAATGCACTTATAGGATGGGAATCTCATGGACCAAGGATCATCAAAGCATCCTTCAAAACAAAGAAAAAGGGTATTTCAATGAACGTCATCCAATGCTATGCGCCTACCAACGACTACAATGAAGACGCTAAACATCAATTCTACAATAGGCTGCAGTCAGTTGTCAAGAAGTGCCCAACAAAAGACCTGACCATTCCGATGGGAGATTTCAATGCCAAAGTCGGAATAGACAACACCGGATATGAAGACATCATGGGACGACACGGACTGGGAGAAAGAAACGAAAATGGTGAGAGATTTGCAAACCTATGTGCCTTCAATAAGCTGGTCATAGGCGGCACCATATTCCCACATAAACGCATACACAAAACCACATGGACTTCACCGGATCACTCTACACAAAACCAAATCAACCATATTTGCATCAACAAAACATTCAGGAGGACTATAGAGGACGTGAGAACCAAGAGAGGAGCTGATATAGCATCAGATCATCACTTGCTGGTCGCCAAGATGAAATTGAAACTCAAGAGGTACTGGACGACGGGGCGGACAATATCACAAAAGTTCGATACAGCTTTTCTTCATGATATTGACAAACTCAACAAATTCAAGATATTTCTCAGCAACAAGTTTCAGGTCTTTCATGATCTACTCAATGGAGAAGGGACTACTATGGAGAGCGACTGGAAGGGGATCAAAGAGGCAACCACTTCAACATGCCATGAGGTTCTGGGCCACGAGAAGCGCCATCACAAGGAATGGATCACTGTTGATACACTGGACAAGATTCAAGAAAGAAGGAACAAGAAGGCAGCAATCAATACCAGCCGAACAAGAGCAGAAAAACCCAAGACACAAGCTGAATACACAGAAGTAAGCAAGCAAGTGAAGAGGAGCATCAGTAAATATGTGGAGGATTTAGCAATGACGGCGGAAAAGGCTGCAAGAGAAGGAAACATGAGACAACTGTATGACACAACAAAGAAACTCTCTGGAAATCGCCGCAAACCAGAACGATCAGTGAAAAGCAAGGAAGGAGAGGTAATCACCAACATTGAAGAGCAACAAGACAGGTGGGTAGAACACTTCAAAGAACTCTTGAATCGACCAGCTCCACTAAACCCACCCAACATCGAAGCAGCACCCACGGACCTCTCAATCAATGTTGGCCCAACAACAGTTGAAGAAATCAGCATGGCCATCAGACAAATCAAGAGTGGCAGAGCAGCAGGACTAAACAACATTCCAACAGAGGCACTAAAAGCAGACGTAGCGGCAACCGCAAGGATACTCCACATTCTCTTCAATCAGATTTCGGATGAGGAAAAAGTACCAAAAGACTGGAAAGAAAGACTTCTGGTCAAAATATCAAAGAAGGGCGATCTCAGCAAGTGTGATAACTACAGGGGCATTACTCTTCTTTCAATAACGGGAAAAGTCTTCAACAGGGTATTGTTAAACAGAATGAAGGACTCCGTAGACGCCCAACTTCGAGACCAATAGGCAGGATTCCGTAAGGATCGATCGTGTACAGACCAAATCGCAACTCTACTGATCATTGAGGAACCATCAATTGAATGGAATTCATCACTCTACATCAACTTCATTGACTACGAGAAAACATTTGACAGCATGGACAGAACAACACTATGGAAACTTCTTCGACACTGCGGTGTGCCTCAGAAGATAGTCAATATCATACGGAATTCCTATGATGAATTACACTCCAAAATTGTGCATGGAGGACAGTTGACAAACTCGTTCGAAGTAAAGACCGGTGTCAGGCAAGGTTGCTTACTCTCACCCTTTCTCTTTCTCCTGGTGATCGACTGGATCATGAAGACGTCAACGTCTGAAGGGCAACACGGAATACAGTGGACATCTAAGATGCAGTTGGACGATCTAGACTTCGCAGATGATCTGGCCCTTCTATCGCACACGCAACAACAAATGCAGGAGAAGACGACCAATGTAGCAGCAGCCTCAGTAGCAGTAGGTCTCAATATACACAAAGGGAAAAGCAAGATTCTTCGATACAACAAAGCATGCACCAATCCAATCACAATTGACGGAGAAGATTTGGAAAATGGGGAAACGTTTATATATTTGGGCAGCATCATTGATGAACATGGTGGATCTGATGCAGATGTGAAGGCGCGGATCGGTAAAGCAAGAGCAGCATATTTACAATTGAGGAACATCTGGAACTCAAAACAATTGTCTCTCAACTAACACCAAAGTAAGAATTTTCAATACAAATGTCAAAACAGTTCTACTGTATGGGGCGGAAACCCGAAGATACAAGTGTTTATTAACAGTTGTCTACGCAAAATATTTCGAATCCGTTTACCAGACACTATCAGCAACAACCTACTATGGGAGAGAATAAATCAGATCCCAGAGGAGGAAGAAATCAGGAAGAAGCGCTGGAAGTGGATAGGGCACACATTGAGGAAAGCACCCAACTGCGTCACAAGACAAGCCCTCACATGAAATCCTCAAGGCCAAAGGAAAAGAGGAAGACCGAAGAACACATTACGTCGAGAAATGGAGATGGACATGAGATGAATGAACAAGAATTGGATGGAACTAGAAAAGAAGGCCCAGGACAGAGTGAATTGGAGAATGCTGGTCGGCGGCCTATGCTCCGTTGGGAGTAACAGGCGTAAGTAAGTAGGTAAGTAAGGAGCTAATCCCTATGGGTAGAGACTGGTATCTACCTTAGTACAATGGAAGATGGTCGCGCGATTTCGTGGATTGGTTAAGGTTAGACATTAAAACCGTTGGATACCGGCTCAGTGGTCTGGAGGTTAGGCGTTCTCGCGCGAGACCTAAGGTCCTGGGTTCGAATCTCGCGAGGCAAGATCGTTGATACGCACTACTGAGGAGCCCCATACTATGACTAAACGGCAGCCCAGTGCTCCCAGGTTTCTAATGGTGATCTAACATCAATCGGTTCACGATCTCAATCAAAAACCCAATAATCTCCACAACCCCATACTATTAATATTAAATGAATTTATTCTCATAAATTGTTTAGGGAAATATAAAAGTCTCGATTATCTCTAAAGTATTATTATTTCATTGCATCAAGAAGTTGATTTTTCGAGGTCTGTATCCGAAAGAGGATAGTCGAACTTGATATTCGTTATCTCTGTAATATCGGATAGATTCAATTCCTTTTGAATTATATTAACAGAATGTGATAATACCACATCCAACACTTTACAACATTTTCAGTTTTCGAATTCGAATTTCACTAAGAACCATCTCTTAAATTATCAATTTTAGATTAGAAAGAAAAACAAACAAATCAAACATATTAATCCCAAGATGATATCTTTCAGTATACAGTTGGTGGAGATTTGTAGCTTAGGTAGATGATTTTGGAGTTTTGTTCTCTGAGCTGGATGGTTTGGCCTTGGAGCATTCATCATTTTTAGATTGTTGCTATTATAGTTGAGAATTTGATCTGTGTGGGTCGGCTTCCTATATACTTGAGTCTCCAGTTTACCTGTGTCGGTTCTAGTGATTAATGCATTCAAGAATGATAATTTGTCGTTTGACTCGATCAATGGTAAGATAGAGGTTTCACTGCTTCTACAATAAGTCCTGATATTGATAATCCCATCAGTATCCCTTTCGTTTGTTCGTAGATTTATTTATTGAATTGAAAATTTGTTGTTAGGCATAATGAATGAGTTCTAATAAACTTTGACTTTGAAGTTTCGTGTACTTTGAGAGAGTTATGTCGTTGGTGAGAAGCAGGGATAGAGTTTCCTTTGCTAAGCTATTACCTCGAAGGATATCATTAGCTCGTCGTTTTTTATTTAACTATTCTTAATCTGATCAAGGAATTGTGTGGGGGATTTGATGGACTGGTATACAGTAATCATTGTTTTATTAAGTCCTTGATCTGTCTACCCACCTTTGGTGCTGAGGATAACTTGCCTAATCTAGATTAAGACCTCGACGCGATAGATTGACCAGCTTAACTTTGAGGCTAGTACGCGTGAGTTCGAAGTGGGTTAGAAAGAAGAGAACTATTCTATCATCTGATCGGCTGACAAGCACGCGAGCGAAAGAAGACAAACCAACTGGAACACTACTCGATCTATTCTCAATCCCGATCTGGTTCCCAATTTCAAATCAGTGTAAAAACATACATGAATAAATAGATGACTGACCCAACCACAACGTACAATAATTAAGAAAATACAATTATGTTCAAAACTGGGGATTAGCGTAGAAAATAGAGTACAAATTATTATATTTAAATTACAATAGCTTTGGTACAAAAAAAGGGTATAGCAATGAATCATACACCAAACAAATGCTTATAATCTATAGAATAGATTAGAGACAAAAATAAATATTACTAATTTACAAGCTTTAAATTAACTGAAATAACGTTCTGAAAAATAACTTTCGTAGTTTGGCAAAGCTTCTGTTCATATCATATTTATTTAATAAAGAAACTTGTCACACACACGCACACACAC